GCACCCAGTTTTTAGACCCCACGTTTTTCGAAAGGGCGCGTCTTATACATGGGGAAATATGGTAACTAAACCATGATACTGTCACCAGATGGAGTACTCTACAGCAACGAGGGTGAACAGTCTCTGACTACATGGAACAATATGGATTATTCTTACACGTACAATGTTGAGCTAATGGAGCCAAACACAAAATAATATATATACTGCATGATTCCATTTTTAGAAAACTTGAAATCCAAAACTAATCTATGATATTGGCTTCTATTTATCATACTCATGATATTGGCATTAAACGTGTACACACACACACACACACACACACACACACACACGGGGAGATGGATAGTGACAGACAGAGGACATGGCAGGGGTGCGTGCAGGGTGCTGGCCATATTGTTTCTTGCTCTGAGTGCTGGCTCTCCATTTACAAAGTCGGGATAGCATTAATACCTATCTCATAGGATTGTTGTTATGTGATCATCCGTGGCATGTAGTGATTGGTCAATAAATGTTAGCTATTGTTATTATGAATAAGCCTTCTTGGGAAGGCTCCACTGTCTGGGAAGTTTCTTGGGGAGAAGTGAGCCCCGGACTATTTCCTAGGTCCAGCATCCTGGATGCTACCCGGTCCTTTGTTTCATCTATTTATTGTTCTTGACAATGTCCGGTGTGTGTCCGACTCCTTCCTCAGAGCTCCCTGTGGGCAGTCAAGGCCTCTGTGTTACATTCATGGCCTGCTGCTTTCTCTGCTCTTAATCCCCGGCACCTGTCACCTACTGGCAGTTCTGCTTCTGGTGGTCCTGTATCTGCCCTCGCTCACGTCACTCCCTCTGCCAGGCCTGCCTTTTCTCCCCTTCTTAACCTCGTAAAGACTTCCTCCAGCATCCCCAGTGCCATCCACATAGTGGGTGCTTGATAACAATTTGTTGCTGTGCTAAAAACCCAGACCTGCACCAAATGGACATGGCCCCAGTGCTATGGGCTGCCTCCAGCTGAGCTCAGTTTCTATTCAGGGCTTTCATTTTCCTGGTAGGCCTGGCATGTCAGGGGCCATGGTTTTCCTTACCACTCTGGAGCCACTGGGCTTCTGGGTAAAACCGTCTGGCCAAGAGACACAGGCTTTCATTTTTTCGAAAGGAAACCCTTCCCAACTGGTGGAAAATAAGCTTTTGCTTAGTGACTAATAACATAAACACAGACAAGATTTCTGGGCTTATAAATAACCAGTTGTAAAAGTGCCCAAGGGAAGCAGCCCTTTTTGCTATAAGAATGGCCAACAGCGGTCCTGTCTCTTCGCTGATAGTGACCTGACTGTGGGCGAGGAGCCTTGAGCCAAGGGTACGGAAGGCGGTCATTCTTTAGGACAGACTCCCAAGGCACTGCTCTTCTATGTTATAAGCCCTGCGCTATTCTGGAAAAATAATAGTGGATCTCTAAGGTTGTTCCTGCTTGAAAATCCTGTGGCTCTGGGGCAGCCACATGTTTTAAAGAGTGAGGCCAGCGGGGAGAGTCTTAGGGTTTTGTTTTGCCAGAGCTGCTGAAGAGGCAGATGAAATAATTATGAGACTAGCTTCCATTTATTGAGCACTGGCCCACACTGAGGATGCTGGGCCCAGGAACTCACTGAATCTCCCATAACTGTGTGAGGAGATTCTTAGCCTCACTTGACTGATGAGACTGAAGTTCAGGAGGGGTCAGTGGAGATGAATACTAGTATAGTGGCTGAGAGCATGGAGTGTGCAGCTTGACTGTGGGCTCAGGCCTGGCCCTGCCTTGTATGCGCTCTGGGCTATGGCAGTTATTAACCTCACCGTACCCCGGCTTTCTCATGTGTAGAATGGGAGGACTCGTAGGACCAAAGCTATAGGACATAATTCATGCAAAATGCTATTAGCACAGTGCTTGCACATAGTAGGCCTTCAGTAAATGCTGTTGTTATTAGAACAGGCCCCAGAAGCTTTTCACGTATGATGCCACACGGCCTCCTTGATGAATCATCGATGTCCCAAGCATCCATTGATGCTAGAACTATGTTTGCATTGACCTAATCTAGGGTTATAATCAGGGCCTTGACTATGAGACTCCAGTTGGGGGTCCCAGAGCCAGACCTGGCTATTTGGACAGTTCTCTCACCTGGCTGCCCACCAGCCCTACCTGCAATAGTGAGGGGCCGATTTTATCACTAGGCTGTCATCTCATTCATCCAGTGCTTCCCACGCTGTCTCCTACTTAGTTCCTCTCGTTGTCAGTAGGAATATTGAAATGACCCAATGAACCTGCAAAACTCTTTGAGTTAAAGAAACCAGACTCTCTAAGGGCGATCGAGTATTAGCATTATCTAAGCATGCTACCTGTGTGTTAGACCATGGAACGCTTTTTTCCTCGAGAACATCTTGCAGGACAAAGTGCTCCACGGAACATGCATTTGTAACTGTTCCCCAGCTCCCTCCAAATGCAGCCAGCAGAGGGGCAAGAGTGAAAGACAGGAGACCAGAGAGAATGGGGATTTGGAGCCAGGAGTGGCTGGGGACGTGAGACAGGTGGACAGAGTCGGGATATATTTTAGAGGTGGGACCAGCAGGACTTACTGATGGCAGCAGCTTAGTAAAATATTTGGTGTACTGAACTGTGTTGATGTGTCCTCGATACTAAGTCAGCCATTTGGAAAGGGAAGAAGCCAGTCGCTGAAGCAGTCCTTGGACCGAGTCAAATGACCCATACCTTCTGATAGTCACTGTAGGGACCGCTGGCTTTGGCTTTGGCATCAGACCTTTTGGGGTGCGAGGCTCCTTTTTTTTTTCCTTCTCAAAGTTCTTTCCCTCTTTCTTCCTTTCCCACCTTTTTAAAATGAGAAAACTCTCTGCCCTCTCCAGGCATAGCACTTTCTCATTTTTGGAGCCTGAGCCATGCATCCTGAGGCAGCTTTTCCAGTTTTCAGTGTATTGTCAATGAAAAGTGTCCACCAGGCTGAAATCCCTGGCAGCAGCCAGAGCTGCAGATGCGGTGGGAGCAGCCAGTTTTATCTGGCTGTTCTCTCTCCTCTTCCTCCCTGCCCTCCTCTTCGCCCTTCACTTTATCTGAGAGGTTTGGCTGGACTTGAAGGAGCCCAAAAGGAACCGAAGGGGCCTGAGCTTCTATAATAGCAGCCAGTGACAACGCGTGGGAGGACGGGGAACCCAGCCCTGGAGCACATTCCGGTTCAACTCAGTTCTCATTAAGACGTGTGTGTGTGTGTGTGTGTGTGTGTGTGTGTGTGTGTGTGTGTGTGTGTGTGT